GTTAATTCTATCTTTGCCAGCAACACATAAGCTAATTTATGTTAGCTTGGCATGTCGGCATGACTTCTTAAAAGCGGAAGATTTTTCGTTTATCTTAAAGTGGATCTCAATTGTTTGAATAAAGCACATAATATAATAAAATAATAATAATAAAGCTTCCTTGAGAAGCCTACTACATTTTTAAGGAAATTATAACATTTTTTTGGCCCTTTATTTTTAAAAACCGTTATATGTATATATATATATATATTCATTGTATTCAACTTAAAAAATAACCAACATATAGCAGATTCTTAACTTTACAACAAAATAATTTTACAAAAAAGAAAGAAAGAATTAAACACTAAAACATAAAACAAAACTATTTTGCTTTCTTATTTCGATTTCATTGACACCCATCAAAGCCCAAAAGTTTAACAATGAAATTAAACACAAAATCAAATTAATTAATCCTTAACTACTATTTAATTGAGGTTAATTTATATTAATTTTTATAATATTCATGCTTTTTTGTTGTTGTTCATCGATTGAGAAAACCAAACCCTAAAACAAATCAAGCTGTCCACAACAAACAATACATGTTGAATTTGTGGTCCACCAACAGAGATTGCAGTGAAAATCAATTAGATTCTTTGAGGTTTTAACCCTAGATTCTCTTGTTGATGAAAGAAGTAAAGAAGATTTGTCTCATCATTTGTTTCTTTTATATTTAGTTTTTGCGCCAACTAAACCACTTAGTTTTTTATTGAAAATTGATTTAAAGATAAATTTTTTTATCATTTTTAATATAATTTTATATGTTATTTAAATAATTGATTCTTTTTATTTATTTGAAATATATGATATCATATATTTAATAATATGTAAAAATTATATAAAAAATATTATAAAAAAATTATTCTTATATCGTCACTTTTTTATTAAATTTCTCCATCCATAAAAAGCCAGAGTGACATGTCTAGTTGGTATAAATTAACTTATGTAGCAGTGGTGGGAATAGAGCTAATGTTAATGGTTAGGTCAACTTGATGTTAATTATGGGTTATTTTATTTGATTTAAATAGGTAAAGTATTAAAAGTATCATAATATAAAATTGAAAATTAAAAACTTATAAATTTATTAAAGTAAATGGCTAAAAATAAGTTTTTGTCATAATACTATCCAAGAGTTCATTGTGGCATATACTCATGTACCAGGAGCCTCTCGATGCTCTCATTGTCATTTATGCAATAGACTAAAAGTGCAACCAAATGAATATGCTTAACCTTACTTAGAACTGCAATTTCAGCCTTCAACTCATTCATCACTTGTTACCCATTCATCACTTGTTACCCATGTTTTGATGATTCCATCCTCTTCACAACAGTCTTTGTGCCATCAGGCAATTCTCCTTTATATAAAACGCCAATTCCTTCTCTTCCTAAAACATTCTCTTCACCAAAATTATTAGTCACCTGTCTAAGGACTTCGATTGAGATCATAGCGTTTCCACCATAAAAAACATGGCGATCACTACCAAACTATACTAGCTTTGCATTTCATAAGCAGTCCCACCATTCCTGTTAATCATAGAAGGCTTCCCTTCCGCAGTTTGGTTTTCCTAGTCCTGCATCTTCTCTCAATTTTGCCTTACTTCTTCTTCATAATGAATTTAAAGGAAATAAAACTTAAAATAACAACAAAAATTAATTATTTAAGTTCGTGCATTACTATGGAAATTACTTATGCATTTTATATAGTTTTAATATCTTTTTTATTTATGACTTTAGATTTTATTAAATGCATTCAATGAATTTACTACATATAAAATTAATTATCAATTATTAATTTTTTCAATAATTAAACTTCATTATGTATAAATCTTTGTATTTATTTTATTTTTCTATGAAAGGGTAGGGCTTTTGTCCAACGAATACCATAAAAAATTTCAATCTTCAAAATCGTATTGTTTAAATTATCTTATTTGGTCATGTTATAAAAGATTCTATCCTAAAATTACTTTTCATGAATATTTATTTTAGATTCTATAAAATTATCTTTTTTCACTAATTATATGTTTGGGTTGAAGGTAAGAGAAGGGAGAAAAGTGAAATTATATCATTTCATTTT